GGTTTTCTTTCAGGTGGACCTGGTCTAACGTGGTCTAGGGTCTGCTTGTTAATCTAGGGTAAACAGATCTACATCTAGGTTTTCTTTCAGGTGGACCTGGTCTAACGTGGTCTAGGGTCTGCTTGTTAATCTAGGGTAAACAGATCTACATCTAGGTTTTCTTTCAGGTGGACCTGGTCTAACGTGGTCTAGGGTCTGCTTGTTAATCTAGGGTAAACAGATCTACATCTAGGTTTTCTTTCAGGTGGACCTGGTCTAACGTGGTCTAGGGTCTGCTTGTTAATCTAGGGTAAACAGATCTACATCTAGGTTTTCTTTCAGGTGGACCTGGTCTAACGTGGTCTAGGGTCTGCTTGTTAATCTAGGGTAAACAGATCTACATCTAGGTTTTCTTTCAGGTGGACCTGGTCTAACGTGGTCTAGGGTCTGCTTGTTAATCTAGGGTAAACAGATCTACATCTAGGTTTTCTTTCAGGTGGACCTGGTCTAACGTGGTCTAGGGTCTGCTTGTTAATCTAGGGTAAACAGATCTACATCTAGGTTTTCTTTCAGGTGGACCTGGTCTAACGTGGTCTAGGGTCTGCTTGTTAATCTAGGGTAAACAGATCTACATCTAGGTTTTCTTGTAGGTGGACCTGGTCTAACATGCTCAGCAGCGGCAGCTCCTCCTGTTTTTTTTCCAAGTAGAACAAAGGTTTCACAATTCTGGAAATGACAATGTGGCCACTAGAGTCTCCTAGTTGATCTAGTAGAGGTCCTACAGATCTGCATGTTTTTATGCAGACCTGGTCTGATGTGGTCCAGACTGGGAAAAGGCTGTGCCTTCAACTCGTCTCGCTTTAAAGCTGGTTGCTGTCAGCTGCCCCCTGGTGGCCAAACCAGGAAAATACAAATTACTAAAAGCCAACAACAACAAAACATCTCATAACAGGTCCAACTTACCTGCTTCAGCAGTGTTCAGCCTCCTGGTCTTCCTCACAGGACCCTGTCTCGTGTCAAGCTGCCGTTTCAAGGGAAGAGTGATGACACTACACCTGCTGGATTTCTGAGGTGTTAACAACTTTAACTCTGCTGTTTCTTATCAACTAGTCTTGGGTAATGATTTATAATGCCGCTATAAGTGTTTATTAATCTGTCACCAACTATCACCCAGTTTGCTCTGATGCCAACTCCAGGAAGAGTCCTGCTAGTTCCAGTCTGAGGCCACTGAGTTCCTGGGAATGCTCAGAGATCTGCATGTGGTTTAGTCCCCTGGTTCTGATCTGGGCCTCTCCACAGAGAGCTCCTGGACTCCAGCTCTTGTTTTGTCCCGACATGAAGCGCAAACTGTGGGACACAGGTGTGTGTGTGTTTCTACACTCAGCCCAGTCAGGTGGACTCCAGTCACATGTCAGAGAGGAAGCAACAGCATGGAGCCACAGAGACTTCAGGAAATGAAAGATTTGTTTTTGATTTTTAATAAATGTGGTGAGCTGGATCCGATGGCGGGGGAGGAAGCTGGACAGACTCGGTAGACCCAAATGTATTGTGAGGGTCTGTTGGGAACGTTTAGCAGAATCCCCTGTCAGAGAGATCTTCAACTCCCGCCTCCGGCAGAGCTTTGACCAGATCCCGGGGGAGGCTGGAGATATTGAGTCCGAGTGGACCATATTCTCCACCTCCATTGTCGATGCGGCCGTTCGGAGCTGTGGCCGTAAGGTCTCCGGTGCCTGTCGTGGTGGCAATCCCCGAACCCGGTGGTAGACACCGGAAGTAAGGGATGCCGTCAAGCTGAAGAAGGAGTCCTTTCGAGCCTGGTTGGCTC